ATATATATATATATATATATATATATATATATATATATATATATATATATATATATATATATATATATATATATATATATATATATATATATATATATATATATATATATATATATATATATATATATATATATATATATATATATATATATATATATATATATATATATATATATATACACACACACAACTAAGCATACTCATCAATCATGCTTCTACAATTCACATCATTTTCACACAAACATTTATAATTATATTTATTTATACATCTCAATCATTCCATACATCGCAATGTATCCATATAAGTATCTATATATAAATAAAACATCAAGCATATGCAATATGCATTCACCAATGTTTACATCAATCCATGTAAACCCACATATATATACATATCTTCAAGCATACTCACTCATGTCATTATCGCAATTCGTGTTACTTCACATAAACATACACAATATGTTTATATCATCACCATTTCACATAAACATTCACATACATGTTTATTTCACCAATGCATCATATAAGGATGAATTATGCAACTCATAGAGACCGACTCACGACTCTATGCAGATGCAAATGCGGTACCGACTCAATTCAGCAGGTTCAATTGAAGAACCAAATGGAACCATCGCTTGTTACCGAAGTAACTCCCCGTCGGGCCTACGATGTTCACCCATTGCTCACACCCCACATGGGCACATAATGTTTATGGATTGCTCACACCCCACATGGACACACAATCCGATTGCTCACACCCCACAAGGGCACACAATCGTTCTGCAGATTCTACGCGGAATCAAATATAGATCATCGCTCACACCCCACATGGGCACACGATGTCTCTGCAGATCCTACACGGGATCAAATATAACCATCGCTCACACCCCACATGGGCACACGAGGTTCCGCAGATCCTACACGGGATCAAATAACACAAATGCATATCATGATGCTTCACATGCAAACATGACTCAATCAACTATAAACCATCGCTCACACCCCACATGGGCACACGAGGTTTCTGCAGATCCTACGCGGGATCAATCAACACAAAATGCATACATGTTTACAAACATACTCATGCATCTATCACATTTCACTGCATACATTTATTATGCATTCACAACATATATATCATAATGCAAATATATATATTCATCATTCATTTCACACCATTTCATACATGGTTCTCATACAAAATGACTCAATCAGTTATAGACCATCGCTCACACCCCACATGGGCACACGATGTCTCTACAGATCCTACACGGGATCAATCAACACAAACTGCATATATATTCGCAAATATATTATCATGCATTCTTCACACATCAACACGTACAATCATCATGCACTCACAATGTGTATTATATTCATCATTCATCACAATTGCCATGCATTTTTATTCAATTCTAAACAATGCATAATTTGCCCAAAGGCCACGATTCAAAATCATATTCATACACTAGGATTCACGCCTTACGGCTACCCACAACACAACAATTAATAACACACAAATTATCCTTACGAGACGAGACCGATCGCAACCGGACACTCTAGCTACTATAAATTCTTCTCACTCAAAATCATTAATCCCGACTAATCGGTAAAATCGGCTAAAAGTTGGATAAAAATAATATTTCTTTTCACCAAGTTGTAGAACATATTATTAGCTTCAGTTTGATATAAAGAACGTCAAAATCCGATAAACGGTGAAAAAGTTATGAATTTTCGAAGTTTTGAAAAATAATATTTTCTCACACTTACAATGTTAATCGGTTAACGTATATGGTTAACGGGTTAACACCTCCAAAAACTCAGTTTTTAGGCCCCCAACATTGTGTAAATCGGTTAACGTATATGGTTAACCGATTAACACCTGAAAAACTCAGAAAAATAGCTACGGATTCGGGCTTAAAAGCCCCAAAAAGTCGCCCGATTAAATAGTTTTCACCCAATTAAATACCTATCTATCCTTACTAATCATATACGGATATTTTAGGGTCATAAAACTCAACTTTCACGACATTCGATTTCCACTCAAAATCTTAACCTCAATTTAACCGAAAATGGTGAAACTCACAATATCACCCGATTTTCGCCAAACTAGTTCCAATAATCTTAGTCTAACATATCCCGACTAAGCTATGAAAGTTATTCTCGATTTTAACCGTCCGAACATCGGCTTCTATCGATTTCTATCATTTCGACCTAAATGGAAACAAGGTTGGAAAACAACCAAACTCATCCACACACATACACAATCATACACAATGATTAAGATAATAAGATTTCACACCCTTACCTTAGATTAATCGAAGCCAGAGGATGTTCTTGATGATTCTCCAAGTTTTCCTCCTTTTCTCCTCTTTTCTCTTTTTCCTCTTTCTTTCTCTTTCTTTCTTTCTTTCCTTTTTCCTTCCACTTTCTCATATATATATATATATATATATATATATATATATATATATATATATATATATATATATATATATATATATATATATATATATATATATATATATATATATATATATATATATATATATATATATATATATATATATATATATATATATATATATATATATATATATATATATATATATATATATATATATCTTTCCCTTTATTTCTTTCCATTGAATTTCCTCTCTCAAAACATCTATCAATCCATTTAAATAATCATCTAATTATTCAAATAATTAAAATAATCCAAATAAATCAATTATTTAACACAAATAATTAATCATTGAAAATTGGGTTGTTACAGTCACCTGAGTTGTGCCTGACAATCCAGCCCAACACAAGTGACCGTTGGCCCTGTGCTGGGGTCTCTCTATAAATACCCTCTTTCACTAGAGGGTCAGGTATTTCACTTCTTAACCTCTCTTCTGTATTTGCTCCCACTCTGGTCTATTACTTACTTTGGCATCGGAGTGACTTGCAGGTACACCCCCCACCTCATCCAGACTTCCGGTGAACAGCCAGCAGATCAACGACGTGTGATAGGCCACTTACAACTTTTCATGTAAGTGAAATTCCTCCAAAAGACACACAAAATCACATTTTAAACTCTCCTAAAATTGGAAAAAAAAAAGAATATGGTAACAACATTTGTTCTAAATTAAAACTTTTAAATTCTTAGAAATATCATCCTTAGGTCACCGATTTGAATTCGGTCAGTTAAAATTTTAATTTTAATTCAAGACGCACTATATTTGTTTCCAAATTTATACTATTAATAACTTATGTTTCAAATTTATTACAAAATCTACCTTAACTTAGTTGGTAGAGTGGAGGAATGTAGTTGACATAAAACCAAATTGAAATTCTTAAGTCATTGGTTTGAATCCGGTAGGTCTGAAATTTTTTCCCGAAACATTTATTGTTTTGAAATATTGTCATCACTTCCAAAGTCACACACTCTAAAATCCTCACAAACCCTACTCACAACTTCACCCTCCAATTATCCACCTTTTTTATAGTCACCAAAAGCTAAAAAATAAAAAATAAAAACTAAAAAAAACTCCAACCAAGCAAGTTCCTAAACTGATGAGATTTTATTCTACCACTCCATTTATATCTGACACCTCATATATTTTGATAATTACAAAAATAATCTTCGCATTATTTATTCCTAAAAAAATTACAATCTGAAAAAAAATTTACTTTGGAAAATTTGCTTAAAACAAAAAAATTAAGTACAAAAATTTGTACGAGAGGAGAAATTTATGCATTTTTATTGGACTATTAAAAAGTCGATATGAATTTTTACCGGAATTTTTAAAAATCCGGTATTTCGTTGCATTTTTCCGGAATTTTTGGAAATATCTGTTATTTTGTTGAAGTTTTATCGATATTTAAAGAAAAAAAAGGGTAAAAATCTGGAAAATGGTTGTGTTCTTACCAGAGGTGTCAAACAGTTGGATACAGTTATACGGAATATTTCAAAATATTTGGTATACTTTGAAAATTATCTGTCAAGGCATCATAATTTAGCACTTGCGGGAGTGTCCCTATGATTTGACCTCATTCTGGTGTCTAAGTGTGACCGTGTGAGTATCTGGTATCCATATTTGTGTCAAAGCTGCATAGCTTGGCACCTGCAAGGTTGTTATGATGACTTAGTCCAAACTGGTGTCTACGTGTGAGTGTCGAGGATCCGGTGTTCCATGTCATGTGTCGGTGCTTCATAGCATGAAACTTGTAAGGGTGTCCCAATGATTTGAATTTTGACCGCAGCCAGCTAAAACGTTTTAATTCGCACACTTGATGAACTTCATGGCAGGAAAATGATTCAGCAAGAGCCAGAATTGGTGCTACTGAAGTCATTGCCAGTGTCAAAGTTTGTTAAAATATTGAGATTGATCTCTTCTTTCGTGACTCTCAACATTGTTTTGTTTAATAGTGTGAAGAATTTTTCAAATTACACTAGTTTTTCATTCACTTCCTCCACATACTCCTGTTGATTCTTAGTTTAAACCTTTCAAGTTTGAGGCATATGGCCAATTTGGTCTACCAGTCCTTTTGATATCTTAAGTGACTGTTACTCTTTCAGGCTACTTTGAGCAATACTGGCCACTAGTTGAAAGCCCAAGATAATATTCAAACCATCGTCATGGTCTAGCATTGCATGTTGAATATTTTGACACTGTAATCCACTGACATAGTATCTAAAAAGAAAAGTCCAAGTTGCCAATGATAAAAATGAAGAAAGTATATTTCATTTAAGAACAAAAAAAAGCATGTCCTTAATTTGATCTTGATTCCCATCTTCCACTTGTTCCCCACTTTCCAGATTCATATATAGAATTCCCTAAGAACAAGTATCTTTTATCTTCTGTCCTTTTACAAGATATATTCCTCACCAAGAGGCTACACCAAATGCTTTTCCTACTACTTATAACCTTCTAGCTTTGTTATTGTTTTCTCATCATACAATCATACAATTATAGCTCCGTTTTTGTAAACTTGTTCTTCTTGTTGTTGCTGAAATGGGATCAACTTGGACTCCAAGGCAAAACAAACAGTTCGAAAGAGCTTTGGCTGTATACGACAGAGAAACTCCAGATAGGTGGCAGAATGTTGCTAACATGGTTGGAAAATCAGTTGAAGATGTTAAAAAACATTATGAGATCCTCAAAGAAGACGTTAGGCGCATCGAACATGGTCAAGTTGCATTCCCTTACAGAACAAACAATAACTGACAAAAGGTAAACGGGCAATAAACTGCGCTCTTTTTTGAATAAATTCTTGCGTGATATCTGAACCACTATGATTCATTCTCTCTTTTATTTACAGGTTCTTAATCCAGAATTCAACAAAATTGAAGACTCGCGATGATATCCAGAGTTAATTATAAAGTAAAATAAAATGAAAAGTAGTATCAACACAGCAGTGAACACTAAAATAGTCCAACTGCAATGCAAGCTTCTATTTATGTCCATGTATTTACAATTTTTTGTTGTTGTTATTGAAGCAATGCATTTACTAATTAATCTTGTGTGTAAACCAGTATTAATTTATCTAGAATTCATGACAAAATATTTATTTGTCTATTTACTACTTCCTTTTTCTTTAGCTTATTTTTGGGTCAATTATCTATCAACATTAAATATGCTATCGAGGGAGTGATATGTTTTTTTGGTTGAATGAGAGAGGGAGTATCTAATACTGCTACTATTATAGAAAGTTAAGAATATACGTACATGACTACAAAAGCTAATAATCAAAACATACATCACTACAAAAGCTACTTCCATTATAGAAAGTTAATTCGGTTTAAATAATAACAACATATTATTTTGGTACAACATAACGGTATTATTATTTCTTCAACAATATATTCTCGCATCAAAACCTTTATAATAATTCCTTTCAATGGTAATAACAAATATAAATTAACACACATAATTGTAAATAGAGCTGACAAATGGGAATTCCCGTCTTATTTACATTTGTTTAAAAAAACTGAATATAGTTGTTATGAATCGGATATCTTAAAGCAAAATATATTTTATAGACAAAAAATACACAATGGTTAGGGTTAACAAATAAAACAAGGTAAAACAACAAGGAACAACAATGATTGGATATAAACTGATATTCTTTCCTTTCTCTTAGAAACAAGATTACAAATATACAAAAATAACAAAATAATCTCTCTCTCTTGAAATTAGGATTTTATCTTCCTATTTTTCCTTATACCAAGATTGCAAAACTAGCATCCTATTTATAAGAAAAATAGCACACTAACATAATGGGTTTTTTAACAATTTTTCATTACAAGCTAATTTAGAGTACAAGCCAACTTAAACAATTGGGCTTACAAGTAAGACCCAATTCAACATACTAACAACCCTAGCAATATTGACTAATGCATGTTAGAACAAACTTCGACTACAACACGCATTACTCCGACAGCAGCATGCGAACATACTTCGACCTCATGTTTAATTCCTGTCGAACCAGAAGCTATCCTTTGACCATACTAGAGTTTGATCTAATATCTCACAAGAGCTAAATAGATGTATTTGAAAAATGTAAATATAAAAATTTGATTTGTTTAGAAAAAAACTGAGGTGGGGTGGAATGAGCTCACCAACATTAAATATTTTAATTTTAAAAATACAAAAAATTATATTAGTGTTTCTGCAGTTGTAAAGAAAAAATTGAATGGGACGAGACGAACACATTAAAAAAATATAAATTTAAAATTTAAAACAATAACTATGTATCACCTCGAATGGTAAATGGATATGTCCGTACCATAAAAGTCCTAAAAATATAAAGTAGGCAGGGGAGGACATTGTATAATATGTGTGTTAAAATTTTTACCCACATTACAAAAAAAATAAGGATAAAATAAGAGTAGGGTAAGGTGAACTCATAATCACGATATTTTTTTTAACTTAAATTGACAAAATGTATGTTACTACTTCCAAAAAAATCCAAAAAAAAAAATGGAACGGAGTGGGAAGGGCATATTAAAAAGTGCAAGGTTAAAACCTTGTTCTGCTCTATAAAAAAGTGTGGATAAAATAGATATATTCAACAGACATGGTCTATTTTACCACCCCGTCATAAATATAAGTCATCTTCAAACAAAATTTGGACTTAAACATAAATTATATTTTAAATTACTATACATAATTATTTTAAAGCTTCACTTATAGTAAGATATATATCTTATAGATGAAAGAATTTTTTTTTTACTTAAATTTAAATATTAATTATATTTAAAGAATTAGATGAAAGATAGAAAATGACTTCTGCGGTCAAGTATCCGACATGGTGATTACGATTCTCCGACAATTAGAGGATGTTTGTAAAATGTTAATATTGATAGTGTTTTTGTTGTTTTAGTTTGTTGCTAGAAAATAGAAGATTATTGTTGTCAATTTTAATAAGCCCTCAAAATTAATTATTTTTGAATTAGTCTTGTTTTTGTTATTTATCATGAGCTGATCTAAGTCGCGCTTCTATTTCCTACAAATTGGTATCAGAATCCCCACTGGGTCTGATAAATACAACTAAGTTGCAACTTAGGTGGGAGAGAAACACAAATTTGAGTGTCCACAAGCTTTCACCAAAAATTTATCATTTTGATGGTCAATATTATGATAATTGGATAGAGTTTATGGATAATCATCTTTATGCCTAAGGTCTTTTGACCATGATTGAAATTGGTATCTAGTAACCTATTGAAACTACTGTGCTCACTGAAGAACAATTAAAGTTGCTACTAAATTCTAAAATTAAATATTACAAGGTCAAGCATTATCTTTTCAGGGCAATTGATAGGCCATTCTTCGAATAGGTATTGGATAGGCGCACATCTAAGATTGTTTAAGATTCCCTAAAAAGAAAGTATAGAGGGAACGATCATTGTTCGAACTCCAATATTGCAATATAACAGTAAGAAGCCCTCCGAGTTTTTATCATCTCTACAGGAATAGGTGCAAAGGAAAGAATGTCGTTCAACAATCTCTACATTTCTAAACTTGGTTTGAATGGTTTAAAAGTGTAAAATACGGAAAGAAAAACATATGAGCAAGTAAATAATACATTCTTTAGAGATGAGATAACTCGTCAGGAATTGAATTTCATCTACCCTATCAAATACTTAAATCTACAGATGAGTTGTACACAACCTAAAACACTCATCAATATCATCACGTATCGCCTACAACAGAGTTTATGTCTAACGCAAAGTTGAGAGAACAACCGTATTGTCTCATCACATCAGTGTTCATGTCTGAAGCGTTGACGAGAGTTCTATCGTATTGTCTCATCGATGATGTCTCATGCAACTAAACAACACAGGGCATTAAACTTCGACACCCACAGTGAATATTAACTCTAAATCTATTTCTAGAGTTCAGAAATATAATAGGTGTTCATCTTAGATCGAGTTCAAACCGTATATGTCTATAGCAATCCATACCCATTAAGATAAATATTAAAATCAAAGATAACATTGATAAAGATTTGTAAAAGAGATTGTATACAACAGCCATGATCAACACATATACATAAAATCAAAGTAAACTTACAAACAAACCCCAACAATAAAGAATACAAAGAAAACAAGTAAGATGAACTGGAAACTCTTGCGGTGTCAAGAAGATTGATTCAAATCCAACTCCGGGTCATCAAGATGCAGCCTCTAATGTTGTTTTCTAAGTCTGTCTACTCAAAAAATGTGTTGTTAGAGTTGGGGTTAAAAGATCCCAAAACCATGCCCTAAAAATCTATGTAAAAGTGAATAAATAGGGGTTGAACATCACAGACCGCGCTCAGCCCGCTCAGAGAGCACTTAGCGCCATAAAAAAACTAGTTTCTTGTTTTCTTCATAACTTGTGAATCGTAACTCTGATTGACGCACGATCAGATGTGTTGAAAAGATTATTCAATGCTCTATAAGATAATAACTAAATAAAATTACTTTAATACCTACAAAATATAAGATAAAACTAATCAAAGTCAATGATATTTATATGATAACGCAAGATATACACTATAACATAAATTATAAAAAATGTACATAAAAGTTGAGGTTTATTAGTATAAAACAAATTAATAAAGCCAATGAGTGCTAATTATTCATACTAAAATTCACAAATGGAACAAAGAGACAAATTATGCAGAGTTGAATGATGAAGAAGAGCTTTTCTTAATGGCTCTTTTAGAACAAAATGAAGCAAAGAGGAATGATGTGTGGTTCTTAGACTCAGAGTGATCTAATCATATGTGTGGAGACAAAGGTATGTTCTTAAACACGGTAGAAGGACAATAAAAAATATGTTAAGTGTAGAAACAACTCTAGCATGTTAATAGCTGAAAAAAGGCAGTATCATGCAGGTATTTGATGGCATTAATTTTCTATTTCAAGACGTATATTATGTCCTAGAACTTCAGAACAATTTGTTGAGTGTGGGGTAGCTGCAAGAAAAAGATCTCACCATTCTCATAAAAGGCGAGACATGCAACATATATCATCTAGATAATGGATTAATTATATGTACCAACATGAGTACAAATCACATATTTATCCTCTTCAATAAAATCTCCAACATCATTGCTCCTATTGAAAAGTTCCTACATACTTCCTCTGAGCTCACTTACCTCTGGCATCAAAGGTATGCTCACGTAAACTACAAAGGTTTGAATACTTTGCAAACAAATAAAATGGTGTGCAATTTGCCTCAACTTGAAGCCTCAAGTATCACTTGTGTTGATTGTTTCAACAGAAAACAACACTGGAATCAAATTCCAAAGAAGAGTGAATGGCGTGCCAACAAGATCTTGGAACTCATGCATGTTGACATTTGCGGAACTATAGATCTAATCTCAACTAGATGAAGAAGGTACTTATTATACTTTATTGATGACTATCGTTGAGAGGGTTGGGTCTATTTTCTCATTAAAAAATCATAAGCTTTAGAGTGCTTTAAGAATTACAAGAAGTCGATGAAAAAAGAAGCAGAAACATCCATCAAGTGTTTGAGAACGTATGAAGGCGAAGAGGTTAAATCTCTCAATTTCAAATCATTTTATGAAGAAGAAGGAATAAAAAGGTAAATTACTACAACATACACACCACACCAAAAACAGATTAGCAGAGCTCAAAAATAGAATTGTGGTGAATATGATGCGCTACATGCTTTTTGCAAAAAAGGTTTCCAAATTGTTTTGGATTGAAGCT